ACTACCCTGGATCGAATACGCCCATAACTCACATGTCTCCTCTTCTACCGGGTTGTCTCCTTTCGAGGTCTCCCTTGGTTTTCAGCCCTGCCTGTTCCCTTCTGAGTTTCCCTCCTCAGTCGTCTCCATTCCCCAGTTCCTCAGGAGTGCAAAACGTACCTGGTCAGCCACGCAGAAGGCCCTGCAAAGGACTGCTGACCGTAACCGGCGTTTAGCCGACCGTCACCGGAGGCCAGCTCCAGTCTATGTGCCTGGTCAGCGCGTCTGGCTGTCGACCCGGGATATTGCATTGAAGGGCCACTGCAAGAAATTGTCCCCCAAGTTCATCGGCCCCTTCACCATCTCCTCCATCATCAATCCCTCGTCTGTCCGTTTGGAGCTTCCCCCTCATATGAAGGTACATCCGGTTTTTCATGTTTCCCTCCTGAAGCCTGTCTCCTCCAGTCCCCTTTGCCCTCCTCCTGCTCCTCCTCCTCCGGTTCGGTTGGCTGATGGGGGTCTCGGTTTTCGGGTCCGGCGCCTCCTGGACGTTAGGCGTCGTGGCCGAGGTCTCCAGTATCTGGTGGAATGGGAGGGCTATGGGCCCGAGCACAGGCAATGGGTCCCGGGGTCCTGGATTGACGACCCCTCCCTCATTAGGGATTTTGAGGCTGCCCGGTCTGCCTCCTCCTCCGCCTCCTCCTCCTCTGCCAGGACGCCGGGTGGCGTCCCTTGAGGGGGGGGTACTGTCACGGTCTGGGGTTTTTTCACACACTAATTGGTGTAGAGTCTCATCTCTCCTCTGCAGGTGGGCGTGCCTGGAAGTTGGGAGGCTGCAGGTAATCTACTGATTAGCTGGCCAGGGATATTTAAGCTCCTGAGAGACGCCTTCACTTTGCTGGATGATTAACTCAACTTGGGTATTTCTCCTAACAGCCAAATCCAAACTAAGCTTTGATTTTGAGAATTTCTGGGTTATGGATTTTTGATTTTTGAGATCTCTGTGTTTTTGACTGCTTGTTTTGCCTCCTGCAGATATCACCTATCAGTTCACCTCGTTTGCTGCTACCAACCTGGTGTCTTCACTGTCCACTCGTCTCTCAGCGTCCTCCTCTGGTCTTCCCACTCCAGGCTGCCCACCCTCCCTCCTGAATCACCATTACCCTTCATGCTCAGCTCCCTCCTCATTTGGACTCCAAGCTCATCAGCCTCCAGTAAGCCTCCTGCCCTCCCCAGACCGGTCACTCCTCCCTCTCTCACGAGCTCTCACCTCCAACCTGTAAGTTCCATCAGATCCAACATTCAGATTTCCGAGTGCCAGACCTAACTCTCCCTGTTCCTCCAGGATTCTCCACACCCGAACCTCGCTTCTCTGCCGAATACTGCTAGACTTCCTAGCAGCTCCTTCTGTTCTCCTTTTCTAATAAATTATTGTTTGCAATCTTCTTTGACTCTGTGGACTGATTCTGTATGTCGTGGGTTAGGCATCTACCACACAACATGACAGGCACTCTATATGGCTGGTGAGTGGGATGATGCAACAGAGTGAAACAAGAGAATGTCACATTCATTGTCCAGTAGACAACGGTAGAACCCGCCCCACAACCGAGAGCCGTCAATGGAGCGTGGCCAGACTAATAATACATTTATTATTTAGTCTGGCTTGCCAGGCTACCGTCAACCAGCTCTTCACCTCCTTCACAACCCTTCGAGCCACCGCCCTCAACCTCTTGAACCAGCGTGAGCCTCCACAGGGTGGTTCCTAAGCATCCTGTAGGCCCTATTCCTATCCAGAATAGCCAAACTACAGGCCTCTGACCACCACAGGTCCATAGACCAACAAACAGGGGCTCACTTCCTGGGTATATGGTCCTCTGCCACCGCACGCACGCACACAGAAACAGTGGAATACCAGTCATTGACGTTCCCACCCCCTCTCAGCCGGCAGATGGCATCCTCTTAATCCTGTTCATACACGGGCCAATAAGTAGGCTTTCAATTGAACCCAAGGGCCATCGAGCCAGGCTCCACCACCACACCCACACCGAGAGACTCAGCGCAGGACAATGATCACTCCAGATAGTGAGGTGGCTTAAAACCTCCCACTCACGAGCCACCGCCGCCATGTCAGCAGAAGCAAATGTCAAGTCCAATGCCAATGATCAGAGACCATCCCCCCTAAACCAAATATAGTGGCCATCATTCAATACCATCAACCCAGACTCATCCAACATATCCCTGCCATTCCCATCAGTACGACAAGCCCCCCACAACTCACTACGCTTAATAAAGTACCTCACCCATAAAACCGGTGAGGAGCCACCGGACATCAGACCTCTAAGAGCCAGGCTGTCCAACGCCCCACAATCAGTCCACACCTCGACAACCACGCATTGAAGGACTGGGTCCACCGACTTCCGGTGGTATTGCAGCCCATCCCTGAGAAACGTGGCGCATCCCCCACCCGAACGGCCCACCCTGTCCCATCTCTCATATACAGATGTGCTTCCTGGAAGGCCCCCGGTCGGCACACAGGTGCGTTCAGAGAGATCAGGGTCAACCAGCAGATTTACAGGGCGACATCTGACCCCCCTTCTGGTAGGTAAGTTTAGAGGTCATCAGCGCCTGCTGTAGTGGAGTAAGGTCAGTGAGCGTGTCACCCCCCCACCCCCGGTTCTGGATGCTGGACCTGAAGACTGACAAGGTCATTTACAGAAAAGCCACGCTGAACAGACACAAACCCCTCAGATGGTTGTAAGATGGAGTCATCATCAGGGGGCCACGACGGTTTGAAGGACCATGATGTGTCCACCTGTTTACCTTGAGTGGCAAGTGGGTGTGTCAAGTTGTAGAGATGGTTGTTAAGGAAGTTCTCTGGCGGAAGTCGAGATTCAAAGCTGAGTGTTTGTGGTGGCAAAATTTCTGAACCAGGTGGTGAACATGGTGTTCACTTCCCACCTGCTCAGAGTTACCGTGAGGCAGAGAAGATCAGTGGGAGGGCTGCTGGGCAGAGGTTCTGCAACCCCTGACCAGAGCTCGCCCTCCTTCACGACAGGGTGGACCTGTTTTTCGTCCGTTGTGGATGACCCGGTCACGCTGTTAGCAGGAACTGGTTTTCCTGATTCCTGAAGGAGAGACTCCTGTTTGCAGAATTTGTTCTGGAAGCAGATGAATATCAGAGAGCTTTAAACCTGGTATAACATCACATCGCTGTGAAATTACGTCAGGCGTGTTAGTCAGAGACGAGAGTGTTTGCTTTAAGTCAGAGCCGAGTAATACAGCAGAACATTTCGTTTCTACTTCATCTGGTGGAAGGTCCGCAGAGCATGGGGTCACTGCCCTTCTCCTCTGTAGACTGTTTTAACTTGGATGTCTGGGACTTCCTGTCGCATTTTGGAAAGCTTTCTTCTAGAGATGTATTTCCTCTCAGCAGTCTGAATTTGGGACTGGTTTCTCATCTGCGGCATGAGCGATGTTAATTGTTTAATTTCCTCTGAGCTCATTTTTGAACGATGTACAGGCCCTTTAATTTGTTATAACATGAATGGAAGCTGAACACAGCTGTTAGTAGGTGAGCTCTGTTACAGGAGAAATGTTTGTGTTTTGAATGACATCGATAATGCACTAGAAACCTTATTGTGAGAAATAAGCTTATTAGTGAAAAACAAGCAAAGAACAGAAAAGAAAGCTTTATTGAGCCGGGTGTTAAAACCGCCACAAGGTGGCAGCATCGACCGGCTGTTGTGTTGAGGGGGCACAAACAGAAATGTCTTAAAAATAAATAAATATAAAAACTAATTAAACCTCAAAAAGGGCACTTTGGGCACATGGGACAAAAGGGCCAGGAGAAGCACCCTCCGACCCCCCCCCCCCCCCGCACGTGCCTGAATGGGGTGGTCCGGGTTTTTTGCATGGCCAGGCATTCGCAAATGGCTAAGAACACAGCCGACCCAAAGTTCCTCCCCTGGTCACTGTGAACGGTCCCCGCTGCGCCGAACCTTGAGAACATGCCGTCTACTAGGACATCAGCAACAGTCTGCTTCCTGGTCTGCAATGGCATAGGCCCCTGGCCACTCGGTTAAGTAGTCCATGGCAACTAAAACATAACGGTTCCCCGTGCCTGTACGGGGGCACGGCCCCACCATGTCCACCGCCACTCTTTCCATTGGGGCCCCGCTGCTACCTGCTGAAGCTCAGCACAGGACTGCTGAGGTGGACCTTTGTGTGCTGTACAGAGGTCACAGCGACGGCACAAGTGCTCCACATCCCTCCTGACCCGACCCCATGCGGCACCATGACAGGCCTGGAGGACATAGTCCCTTCTTCTGTTAGACCGTATTACACTTGAGACCGCCTCTGCTTCCACTCCAAATCAGTGTCTCTGGGCTCTTTTGATCGGTTCCATCACATAGCGATGATGGGGGGGGGGGGGGGGCTGCTTGGGTGGCCGTCTGACGCCATGTGTTGGACCATGGGAGGTCTTGGCGGTGGTCACAGCATGAAAGCTGAAGTGTGGGTCTGGGTGAGGGCATGGTTATACGCCTCTGTTTCATCTTTTGTTTTAATCTGGAGGTGAAGACACGCAGGTAGTCCTGGTAACACCTGAGCACCTGAGACTGGCCCAATCAGTGTTACAGCAGCACTAAAGACACAGACCAGGAACAGATTCCAGTTGGGTGATCTTGGAAGGTAGAAGATCGTGACAAGGAATTATAGAACTGACAGGTGAGAGGTGGACAGGTGAGCCGAGTACCCCTGCAGACTCACGGATCGCAGCGCAGGTTGGCGGGTCTCTGTGATGTGCTTGGATGAAAAGATTAGCTCCCAACCAGCTGATGACAGCTCCAACACATATTTTTCATCAGTCACGGACAGAAGAAGACAATAATGAACTAGACTGAATGAACTAACTTCCATTAGCAATGCCGTTGTTTTAAAACAGAGAACTTCAGTTTTGCTCTGATGCCCAGGAACCTGGCAGCCATCCACGCTCTGAGCCTGTATGAATAAGACACCAGACACCCCAAAACACCATTTATTTACAGAAAACTATCAGTACACAAAGAATTTGGCTAAAAGCTCCCAACCATACAACTTAGAGTCGTGTGAACGTTGTGGGTATTCAGCCACCACTTGCACCCGGTGGCACAGCAGATCTTCCACGAGATCCATGAGTTAAGCACAAGGTCCAAACACATCCAGTGGTCTGAGCAACGCTCGCCAAGAACTCAGACGGCACAGTTGCATGAACGAACAGAAAAGGAAACCCTAAAACATGACTTGATGGTGGTTTCAGAACCACACCACCGCAGACCGGAGCAGCACATTCATTTGGGCTGAACCATCGTGCTTCTAAAAACAGCTGGTGTCATAGATCTCACAAGTATTCACAACCTGTAAATAAATGCTGCCGACGGACCTAGCAGGTGTTAGAACCCGACACCGCTCAGTACACTGACCCGCAAACGTCAAACTGCGTTTGAATTGGATGACAGTAAGCTCCTGGGGTGGTCCTGCCTGGCCAAGAGGAGGCAAAGACCAACCAGAACTCTGCCAGAAGCTTGGTGATGGAGACAAGAACCACCTGGTGTGTGGGGCTTCAGTCCAGAACCAGTCCCTATGGCCTAGAGTGGACCAGAACCCAGCTGTGTTAAATCATGTAGCAGAATTCATGGGTTCACCAGACAGTGTTGGACTCAGATAGAGCAGCTGTAGAACCTCCCATCAGATCCAGGTCCACCAGGAGCAGGAGAAGCCGGCTCAACTAAACAGCAGCATGTGTGGAAGCATCCCGACATTCCAGGATGTGGATCAGAATCCCAGTGATCTGGACAGGAAGGACTTTGGCTCCTCCAGACTAACACAGAACTAGCCAACGTACCAAAGCGTGGGCTGCTGACAGAGCAGGCTGCTGGGCGTGGGTCAGAGCGGCTCCAGCAGGCGGACGCACCGAGGGTGGACTGCATCAGAGCCGGTCTGTAGAACAGGCTGCTGCCAGCCAAGGACTGGATAAAAGACTGAGAGGAGCTCCTGTGGAACCTCTGGTTGGACCAGACCGATGAGCAGCAGCTGCTGGTTCCCAGTCCCACCAGTCCAAGGCAACGTTAGAAAGGAGAGTTCATCCCCAGTTTGGTTTCAAACTGCAGCTTCTGTCTCTTCTGGTATCGAACTCGAACCCTGGAACAGAAACAGGCGTGTTGGTTAGAAGATCCAGTCGGACCCTGCTCCCAGATCAGCTGCATGTAGAACCGCAGCTTAAGCTGTCACGTTAGCTTGGGGCTCTTATTGTGAAGAGACCCTCAGTTTGGTGAACACATTTGCTTGGGGCTCTTATTGTGAAGAGACTCTCAGTTTGGTGAACACGTTTGCTTGGGGCTCTTATTGTGAAGAGACCCTCAGTTTGGTGAACACATTTGCTTGGGGCTCTTATTGTGAAGAGACTCTCAGTTTGGTGAACACGTTTGCTTGGGGCTCTTATTGTGAAGAGACCCTCAGTTTGGTGAACACGTTTGCTTGGGGCTCTTATTGTGAAGAGACTCTCAGTTTGGTGAACACGTTAGCTTGGGGCTCTTATTGTGAAGAGACTCTCAGTTTGGTGAACACGTTTGCTTGGGGCTCTTATTGTGAAGAGACTCTCAGTTTGGTGAACACGTTTGCTTGGGGCTCTTATTGTGAAGAGACTCTCAGTTTGGTGAACACGTTTGCTTGGGGCTCTTATTGTGAAGAGACTCTCAGTTTGGTGAAACTAACAGATGAGGACAGGAGGTAGACCTCACTGGACACCAGCTGGTTGGCTTCAGCCTCCATCCTGGTGAAGTGAATGCTAATGGGGTTGTCGAAGGTGACCTCTGACCCCGGTAAAAGGTCCGTTACTTGACTACTCGGAGCAGCTTCTAGCAGAGAAAGCTCAGCTACGTTTCTGCTCTACAATCTGAACTCTGATAGAAGGAACTGTTGGACGGGAGCTCCTGCGGGTCTGGGCTGAAACCGTTCATTCAGACTAACACAGTCAGACGGGTGTGGAGGGAGCGGGAGAGGCCAGCACTGCTGCGTACGTTCATACCGGATCTCATGGAGTTTCATCACCTCGTTGACCATCACCACCAGAAGAGGAGACAAGCATGCAAGCAGCCAGGCCTCCAGAGGGATGTTTTCCAGGCGGAACGTCAGGATGCTGCTCTGGTTCTGCCACAGCTGGAAGTCCAGCGTAGCCTGAACCACCTGGCCCAGCAGTCTGACAAGACAGGGACCGGTGAGGGACGGCAGCAGAACACATCTGGGGTTCTTACAACCTTTCCAGGGACAGAACTTACACAACAGGGACCGTGAGACACCACCAGCTGTTGCTGAAGGGACTCTTCCTCCAGAGCGGTTGAGAGCGGTGCACATAGCTGAGGGAGATCACCACTGAAAACATTCAAACCACAACAAAATAGAAGAGATGAGTTCAGGGCAACATGGATGATGAGACCCGGGTCAGCGTTGCTGTCTGACCTGTGTGTAGCACGAGGAAGCCAGCCATCAGTTTCTGAGTGAGCAGCAGGCCGTTGGATAGCTCTCCGAACCACTGAAGGGTCTGCTCCGATGAGCTGAGAGACAAAGAGACCATCGTCAAGGTTTAGGAGTTAACATTCAGGCGGGACAGGCTCCTTCTCTGGTACCTGGCAGTGAACACGGAACCACAGGTCGTGGAGGCGTTGGTGAAGGTCCCGTTAGTGCCCATGGGACAGAAGGCCTGCAGAGTGAAGCCAAACACCAGCAGGTAGGTGCACACCGTCAGGCCAAACTTCAGCACGAAACAGCCCAGGAAGTAGTTCTGTGTCTGAGGAGACCAAACCAAACACCCAGAGACCTGCTCGTCACCCCACGAGGTCCCGCAGTAGGAAGGACAGCAGAACATCGGTGGGTAATAATCATCCGGAGTAGCTTTCCTCGGTGTCTCAGAACAGTCCTGTACTGAGACACCGAGGAAACAAAACCAGCTGCACCAGGACCACAGCCCTGCTGAGGCTGGTCGTGGTGCATGGGGTTAGCTTTCAGAGACGATGCGGTCCTGTTGACACCACCGAGCCAGGACCTCCAGAAACAACTGGGATGCTTTTAAATGCAGTGTGAAGCATCTGGAACGAAGAGCAGCCCCTCCAAGTCTGAGGCCGTGGTCCTAAACTGGAAACGGGAGGTCTGCCCCTTCCATGTTGGGAACGAGCCAGTGGTCATGGAGCGGAGGTAGAATGAAGCATGGGACCAACAGGGCCACCAACCATCCAGCACGTCTTACACTCAGAACATGTGAATAAAAGCGTGTTAGAAGGACCTTATCACGGCGCCGGGTCACAGCTTCCAACCAGCTGGTTTCACAGACAGGGAGGGCTTCCAGCTGAGGAGAAGGGTTGTGACGTTCACACATCAAGCTGATACATCTACGTACCTTCCTTGGGATTGAATCCAAGTTCTTCCCAGTGGCGACGGTCATGACGGAGCTGTCAGGCGGCTTGCCCAGGAGAGACACGCTAGCAAAACGATGCAGAGGTCAGAGCAAAGCTGTGCTTGACAGAGCCGACTGATGCAAAGGCTGCTGGGAGTACCTGAGCAGAGGGCAGCTGAAGCAGGACACCCAGAGGATGTCGGTGGTGTTCATGGGAGGAGGAAGCTGCACCAGGTAAGCTAAGAACTAACAGCACAACCGCGACATTAGAATGTCCTCAGAGAACACACGCGGGTAGCACATGCCCGCCTTACCTGGATGATGACCAGACTCAGCTGACACTGCAGCAGGAACAGGAAGCACTTGCGGATGCCAGAGGTCGTGTGGCGAGCCTTGAAGCAATTAGAAGAAATGAGTTTAGAGGGTCAGAGCCGCTCTCCCCGATAAGGTGAAGCCCGTCTAACCTGCTCGATCAGCTTGACCATGCTGACGCTGTCTCCCTGGTGGAAGCAGACAGAGCAGCCCAGGCTGTTGAGCTGTCCAGACAGCATCAGAGGAGACAGCCCTTCCATGTCTCCAGAAGGTCTGCCTCCAGTGGCATAGCCAAAGGTCTCCCAGGAACACTGGGATGGATAAAGAGGGTCTAGGGAGATGCTGCGGCGACAAGAGATGGGCCTTTGTAAGCAGATGTGCCAGGATTACGCCACAGCGTCCATGAGAAACAAAAACCATTTAGACCAGTATGGCTAGGAGACTGCTTAGACCCTGAAACCCCCAGGTCTCTGGTAGAAGATCTGACGTCTCTATTTTTATTTCATTTTCTTTTATTACAGATCAGAAACAACAGTTTTTACCTGAGGTCGCTCTGCAGAAACAGACGACTGTTACGGAAATTGGCAGAGCTTCCCAGGCAGCAGATGACCTCCCTGTTCTCTTGCATGATCTTCATCATCTCACACATGGCTACAAAACAGAAACACAGGTCATCATAATGTAGACCAGCCATAGGGCCACGGCACACAGCTGGGCTGCCAGCTGCACCTGGAGCTCTGCTAGCTTCCAGTGCTACACCTGTGGGCCGTGTGATGATGCGGGCTACAGCAACCACAGAGCCTGGCCTGGCAGCGATGATGTTAGCTATCTGATTAACAAGCAGACGTAGCCTGCCACTAGCATACAACAGAGCCGCACACACACACACACACACACACACACACACGCACACACACACACACACACACACACACGCACACACACGCACGCACACACACACACACACACACACGCACACACACACACACACACACGCACACACACACACACACACACACACGCACACACACACACACACACACACACGCACACACACACACACACACGCACACACACACACACACACACACACGCACACACACACACACACACACACGCACACACGCACACACACACACACACACACACACACACACACACGTGCGCACACACGCACACACACGCACACGCACACACACACACACACGCACACACGCACACACACACACACACACACACACACACACACACACACACACACACGCACACGCACACACACACACACACACGTGCGCACACACGCACACACACACACACGCACACACACACACGTGCGCACACACACACACGCACACACACACACGTGCGCACACACGCACACACACGCACACACACACACGCACACACACACACACACGCACACACGCACACGCACACACACACACGCACACACACGTGCGCACACACGCACAAACACACACACACATGTACACACAAACACACACACACTCACACACGCACAGACACGTGCGCACACACGCACAAACACACACAAACACACACACACACACACGCACGCACAGACACGCATACGCACACGTATGCACAAACACGTGCGCACACACGCACAAACACACACACACATGTACACACAAACACACACACACTCACACACGCACAGACACGTGCGCACACACGCACAAACACACACAAACACACACACACACACACGCACGCACAGACACGCATACGCACACGTATGCACAAACACGTGCGCACACACGCACAAACACACACAAACACACACACATGTACGCACAAACACACACACACGCACAAACACACACACACATGTACACACAAACACACACACACTCACACACGCACAGACACGTGCGCACACACGCACAAACACACACAAACACACACACGCATGCACAGACACACATACGCACACGTATGCACAAACACGTGCGCACACACGCACAAACACACACAAACACACACACATGTACGCACAAACACACACACACGCACAAACACACACACACACATGTACTGTACGCACAAACACCATCTTGCCTTCTTTAGCCGATGTTAGAGTAAAACAAAATGATGCTGTGGCTTCCTAAGGGAACAAGAAACAACTTCTGAGTCGCTCCTGTTGACTTTCCTCTACCGTTTTTCCCACACCGCTGGAGCGTTTAGCTTGAGGGTGTTGAATTACAAATGCCAGTGCAGACTTTGCAATCCCGCAGGCTCACGTATGATTTGTTCTGGAACCAGGAAGTGAGGAGGCGAGACAGATTGTAAACAGTGACTACGTCTCTCTTCTGCATTTTTAAACGCGGAAAACCCGACAACCCGGCAGCCGGCTGGGAAGGAAATCTGTTTAAAAGTAGCCTTCCTTCCAACATGACTGAGACAGTTTCGTGGTTATTTCGCTGTAGAATTATTACTTATTGCTCCTTTAACCCTTTACAGGGTCAACGTCTGGATGTAGACACTTCCACTCACATCATAAACGATATCTGTGTGCTTTTCACAGACTCTTACAATTATAAAGTTTTACCCAACCAATCATCAGAGATCAGGTTAGTCACAGTTCATGCCATGAGTGCTGATTCTTCTCGTGTTTACGGTCAGATCTCTAAAGCTAACAGTGCTAGGTTTATGAAACTCTCACATCACCAGGTTGACTAGTTGTGCTAAATACGGATGTGTTGTAAATGTTAAACTCAATGAAGCTGGTGATATCTTAGCATAAAAATTATATCTGCCATATTCAAACATACTAGCCTGGCCTGCCAGACTCCTCCTCTGTTTAATTCTGCACAGAGAAAGGGTCTGATGACTCTCCTGTTCAAATAACCCCACCCCCGGAGATTTCTAACTGAGCCAATCAGCACTGAGCAGCGTATGTCACACACAAGCCCCCACAATGCAGCTCTAAAATTGAGTCAAACCCGGAAATGAAATAAATTGCAGTTCCACCCTCATCCACTAGGGGCTGGTGTCAGAAGCGAGCAAATCCTCATTGACTCCCATGTTAAAAATACCAATTTCACAGCAGAAATAAACATGTTTACAGCCTGGTACCAGAACATGTTTTAGGTTTAAATGATCTAGTTTACACTCATGACAACTCTGAGGGGGTGAATGTTTTTCTCACTCTTCTGTTTAAGTGTATTAAAAGCCTAAAATTCTGTATAATTAATGAGCATCAGACCCACGTGACCACAGAGCTAGCTCCGGGGAAAGGCCTCAGTAGAGCCTCGGTCTGGCCTGGAAACTGCTCCGGGATTTTGAGTCCCTGTGTGTGTGTATTCTTGTTTGGATATTATTTGTGCAATTGTTGGACAAAATGACTTGCTGTGGCATTAATTGCACTAATAGAGCGTCCAAGGAGTCTCCACTTCATTTATTTCTGTAAGTAAAATTATATTTATGTATTTTAGGTCACTGCCGAGCTGAGCTTAGATTTTAACATGTACTGTTTAACCATGAAATTTAAATGTAATAGGGTAAACCCAGTGCATTTAACATAAAGCTGCACTTTAGAAAATGGGTTGAAATATAACATGTTGGTGGAGCTGGGTTCCCACTATCGGCTTGTGGAGCTCTCGGGAGACCTCTGTGTTCCACCCGGTTTTACCCAGCGGTCAGCCCGGCATATCTCTGACTCAGAAGCTCTGGTGTTGTGCACAGTTAACTCCGGTTGTAGCTAGGTTGCTACCTCCGTTAGCTTAGCTCCCACCTCCGCGTTAGCTTTGGGTTAGCTTCAGGTTAGCTTGTAGCTAGTTCGACCGGGTGTCGTCAGTTGGTCCCAGCCTTTCAGCCCCACCCTCAGCTCCTCCTCTCTTCCCTTTTGTGGAATTGTCTGGGCTTGACGGAACCTGTGACACGGTCAAAATGGCGGTGGTGGCCACCTCCCATTTCTCTTCAAAAATGTGTTATTGGAGCTTATGGAAACCCATTGTCCAATATTTATATGTCGATGGTCACACACCATAACGTCGAGTTTGTCATAAACATGGCGTCTGAAGCGGAGTTTGCTGCGGCTCTTTCTTTTGGTCTAAATGACTTGAATGTCTTTAAAACAAGTAGAAGCACTAAAAGCCTTTCTTCTAAGGAAATATGTTTGCGCTGTTGCCAGACGCAATTTTTTTACTACATCTAAAAAAACTACAGCGTTGCGCGGTACAGTTGGCATTTCTGTCTTTTTGTCTGATTGGTTATGTTTGAGCTGCCTAGTCCTGCCCCTCAAGTGCCTCTCTGTCTGTGAGTTACTAGACTCTCTCTCTCTGTTATCAACCAGAGGATGAGTCTGGCAGGCCAGGCTACGAGCATACACCCTGAACAAGTAAAAGACATTATTAATATTTTTAGGTGAAATCTGTTGTTTTTTAGACATTATCCTAATATTCATGGCAAAAATAATAACAATTATAACATTGAATATATTTTGCAGTTTTAAACTAAGATGTCGATGGCAAATGGAAGACGACCATTACTGTGCCACCCACTCCCGCCATCAGTGATGATGATGAAGAGGAGGAAGATGACATTGAGGTTGATCCTCAAACACAAAATATTCTATATTTGTTCAAAATGGTATCTAGTGTTCAATATCCTTTCAAAAATATTCTACATGAATCTGTTTTTATAAAAATATACTTTATTGTTTAATAAATGCGATATATTCTGTATTATTCTACAGTGATATAATGTTCTAAAATTAGCTAGATTATTCCTTTTTCCCCCCGTGTCCTGTCTGGCTGTGAAGCAAGCAGAACTGATGTCTGAATGCTGGTGACAAGCCTTACAGATTTACTCTCAGGTGGAGCATCAAAGCGTCTGCTTTTAATGTCACGCCTGATACTTAAAACTTCAGTGTTATTGTTTTTGAATGGTTTCTAATTCCGACCAGACACGGAGACAGAGGTGAAAGAGAAAGGAAAAGTCAAAAGGAAGGGGGGGTTCCACAAAAATAAACAATCAGTGATGAACAAGAGTCTGCTTCTAGACCTGCAGAAAAGGAACACACAACAATACAACAGGAGCAAGCTATCACTGCGTCATCCTGATGATGAAATATAAAATCAACATTGTTTTACTGAACAATCACACGATAATAAACCACAGTGCATTTAGTGCCATCCACAGTCTTAAGACCTGTGTCGAACATGCCAAAGTCCATACTTATGTGAGCACCTGTGTGTGTACACGCACTTGTATATGTAAGGTTTCTCTATAGGAGCGTCCAATAGAGAGTGTGAGGGGCCACAGATCTGCCCCCAAAGATGTGTAGGAGATGGAGGGAGCTCCAAGTCCCAGAGATCCAGGAGCTGCCCCAGAGTGCAGGGACCCCAGGGAGACTGTAACCAGAAAAGCCCCCGCCCCCTCGAGAGGCGCAGAGGATCGCCCCGGAAAGCCACAACCAGCAGCACGACCAGCCTCGCTGGCAACAGAGCCCAGGGACTCAGATCCCACCAGGCAACCCCCGGGATCAATCAGGCAGACTCCAAAAATCTTAAACCCCCTGACCCGGGAGCCGCGAACACTCAGGCAGACCAAGGCACCACACTCCACACCAAATGTGGCAGGGGGAGGGCAGGTGAAGATGTGTAGCAGCACAAGAAGTCCCAGGAGAGGGGACAGATCCAAGACCCCACCTGACATATACAATCATACATAGACATAGTCACACACTCCCTCCCTCATGCTCACACATACACACACAACCTAAGGCTCACAAAAATGAACCCTAGACACCCACTCACACTCCCCACACACACCCTATTCACTCTGGTCCTGGCACTGCGGCACAATGGGTATAACCATCACTGGTTCCCAGAGTTTAACTCTTTTTGCTGGGGATGATGATGAGCAGGCCCCCCCACCCAATGCTGAGCAAAGCATCCCACCACCCCAGACCCCAACATGATGGCCAGCTCCCCCTCCTAGCCTCCAGCCCTGGGAAGCCAAGCGACGACAGAGGTGTGCTTATACCCCTAGTCTCCCTCCGCCTGCTCCTATATAGGGTTAGTGCGTGTTGATAAGGTGTATTCGTGGCTGTTGTGAGCGGGCAGTGCAGGCATCGTCTGGCCTACGCCAGCTGATGCAACCACACAACCCCACAGCCCTCAGTGTCTAAGTGCAGTTTAAAATTGGAAGTGGGCACCGGCACTCAGGATGAGGCTGAAAGATCCCCTTGCCAAATGGCATTGAATGTGCTCACTCCCAAGGCCCTAAGTGTGTGTTTGCGTGGAATGTCGTTGGTGGAAGTGTATAAGGTGCAAATAAAATTGGGGGCAGGCTGCCACAGGAATGCGGAAATGAGATCCATACCCACACCCCTGACTTGCCCACCTCCCAAGGTCCTGTGTGCATGATTGTGTGATGATGTGAAGGAGCAGGAGGAGAAAAATGTATGGGGATGGGGAGAAATGGCTGGTTGGCCTAAGCCCTCCAGGGAGCCAGCTCCCCCACTGACCCCAATAGGCACCTCCGTTCCCAAAATGCCCCCCAGGGCATGGAGACCCCAGCCACACCTCTCCAGGTCTCACTGTCGTTGCCCACGTAAGCGTTAAAGTCCACAAGCAGAACGAGGGAGTCACTTGAAGGAGTGCTCTCCAGCACCCCCTCCAAGGACTCCAAAAAGGGTGGGTAGTCTGAACTGTAGTTTGGTGCATAAGCACAGACCACAGTCAGTACCCGTCCCCCTACACGAAGGCGGAGGGCGGACGCGTACAGGCACCAAGATGGGGGCAACAAGTATGCCCAACCCTGCTCGGCGCCTCTCAGTGGGGCCAACTCCAGATTGGTAGAAAGTCCAACCACTCTCGGGGAAACTGGTTCGAGAGCCAGAGCCATGCGTTCAGGTGAGTCGAACTATATCTAGCCAGAACATCTCAACCTCAACCACCAACTCTGGCTCTTTCCCCACCAGAGAGGTGAAATTCCACATACCAAGAGCTAGTCTTTGTAGTTGAGGATCAGACCGCCAAGGTCCCTGCCTTTGGCTACCACCCGACACACAAAGCACTGATACCTTTGGCCCCTCCCACGAGTGGTGAGCTCATGGAAAGGGAGACCCACGTCTCCTCCTTGGACTGTGCCTGGCCGTGCTCCATGGGTAAAAACCAGGCCACCAGGTGCTCGCCAGCGGGCCCCACCTCCAGGCTTGGCTCCAGAGAGGGGCCCCGGTGACCCGTGTCCTGGCGAGGGAACATGGTTTTCATTTTTATTGTTCATAATAAGGGGTCTACGGGCTGCACTTTGATCTGCCACCTAGGGCCTGTTTGCCATGTTGTAACCCTACCCGAGGCGTAAAGCCTCAGACAACTTAGCTCCTAGGATCATTGGGACACAAACCCCTCCACCACGGTATGGTGCCAACCCAGGGAGGGGTTGGGATGACAATCAGCTCCTCTAAATCTGAGACCATGGTCTTAAGTCGGGAAAGGGTAGTATGCCTTGCACACGTGCCCTGTAAAGGGTCATTTTAAGACATACTGGCTCAAGAAAATGATGTAAAAACATGAAAATGTTGCACAGTTCTAGGGTTTTTATTAACGTTTCAAACTAATTTGCTAATTATACGGCTACATTTTCACTGAATTTTAAATACATTTAAATATTTTCTAATGTGTTTATTTTTGAGCATACACCATAATTTCACTCATTTTCACAAGTTTTATCAGTAGTTCTTTGAGTTTGTTTGCTGGTCAGAAGCCTGACATTAAGCCAATTTCATTCTTGCTGGAATGTCATTCATGGCCTGTTTGGAGTCTTATTGTATACGTGCAGGTTTACATATGTATGATAAATATATGTCCTTGTGATTTTCACATGTTGTTACTTTAACATTTTGGCTTGTTAAACTGTATGAGGGGTTGGTCTAGCCCAGTGGTGTTCAATCCTGGTCCTCGACGTCCCGTATCCAGCACATTTTAGTGGTTTCTCTGATTCAACACAGTTGATTCACCTGTGCAGCAGCTCATCGGGCTCTTCAGAAGCCTGTTAATCACATGCTGATTGAAATCAGGTGTGTTGAAACGGAGTTAAAACTAAAACGTGCTGGATACCGGATCTCCGGGCCTGGAACTAAATACCCCTGGTCTAGCCATTGAATATCAGACCAAACGTAAGGCCAGTTAGGTAAACCAATATATTGTTAACATCTAAATGGGCCCAGGTCACTTTGGAATGGGAAAGTTGAGCCCTGAGGTCACAATAGTTAGGAACCACTGGTTTAGACAAACTTCTCTTTGGGGTCAACAGCTGATCGTTTATTCTAAAGAAACATCTAAAACTGCAAACTCCCCCAGTAACAAACACAACACAGATGTGACCTACTGTCGGGGGTGCAGTCAGTGAAGAGTGGCACCAGAAGAGGCACGTTATCAATGTTCTTCAAGTGAGGACGGACCTGGTGAATCCCACGGGGCAACTTGGCCTGGGAAGACGCAGAAATATAAAAACAGGAGTATAAAATAAAGGCAACACAATCCAATTGGATGGATAAATGCCAACAAGGTAAATAATGTTTATTTCTTTAGCAAACAAGTCAGTTTGCCCCAGGGCAGCTGTGGGTACATCGTAGCTCATCACCATTAGTGTGAGAATGTGTGTGTGTGGTTGGGTGCACGATACACCCTAGTGTGAAGTCCTTTGGAGTACTCGGACTCTGAAAGATGCTATACAAATGCGAGTCATAACAAAGAGAAAAAATCAAAGTGATAGCAAAATTAAAACATGATTAAAAGAAAAAATAAATATTTAAGATAATTAAAACTAAAGAATAAAGATGGTTTGTAACCAGTAAAAAACACAAAGGACTCAAGTAAAGCAGCTTTAAATAAAAGGACCTTTAGCTGTTTTTTAAGTGTCCAGACTGCCGATGCTACGTAAGGATAAAGGAAGATCATTCCAGAGTCAGGGTGCAACTGTCTGGAAGGAGTGATCACTAGAGGTGGGAAAAATGATCGACTCTAAGATGCATCGCGATTCAGCCGTGCATGATTCCGCATCGATGCAGCAACGTGACTTAATGAGATTCTCTCCCTATGTCTATGTCGGGGGTCGGCAACCGCGGCTCTGGAGCCGCATGCGGCTCTTCCATCCATCTGATGCGGCTCTCTGTGCTTGTAAAATAATGAATGGATATTTAAATAAAATGCTTTATATTTTACTGCATTAATTTTACATCTGTGTCGCCACATTGGAGACAGGAACAAGCGCTACTCAGCCAAAGTTTCATAATCAGGGAGCATTTTCTAAGTGACAAGTCTCGCTTCAGTCGGAGGAATCTGCATGCGCCCTGGTTCTGCGATGCGCTCCAAGCCCCTCTCCACATCTTCAGCTCGCTGTGTACCTTATGTACGCGCTGACAGTGAGCTGCGCTGAGCGGTGTCCAGCTCAGATGCTCAGATGGGAATCTTTTCTTGAGTGATTTAGCTACATCTGCGATGTGCGAAACGAATAAAATGTCAGTTCGTCTGCATGCGTCGGGGTAATTCTTTCTATTCTTTCTCCGTCAAAATAAATAGTCAAATACAGGAACTATCCGGTCAACACAAGCCCTGCTTTTAACTGTTTTGTTTTCTTGTGAAAATTGTTGCAAATAGATAAAATTAAACTTGATTACCACCAGAGCCAGGCGCACTGCGCCGTTATCTCCGTCACTGTAAACGAGGGAAAAACAAAATGATCGGATCCTTTTCTGACCTTCCCCACCTACAAAGTTTAATTACAACAATCAAACGTGACAGAGCCTGGATTTGTATTCTGAACAGTCTAAACATGTTTTAAAAAGAAACGTGTGACAAAAGTGGCACCTGCTCAGTAAAACCACCAGCAGGGTGAAAATATCTAAATATTGTCAGCAGAGACGGGCTACAACTTCTGGATCCACTTTATATAAATCGTTTTATTGATTATCTTCTTATGAAAGATAACTGACGTACACGAGCGACCGGCTACTGTCTGAGGGTAGGCCCCGCCCACAACGCCGTGGCTGCTGCGGTGTTTTCTTTACTGTGGGAAACGGGTAATAATGGCTCTTTGATGGGAACAGGTTGCCGACCCCTGGTCTATGTCTATGCAGGACAATAAAGTTTTGAGGTATTACTTCTGGGGTCAGAGTTGCAATGACATGCGCACTGCGTTGTCCTAGAAGCAATTGGACAGGGACACAGGGCCAACATTACCAGTAATCAAAGACGTACCCGTTACATTTAAATCGGATGTCTGGGCTAATTTCTGTTTTGGGATCCTGGATGTGAAAGAATCACTTAACACAGTATTTGTTTACTATGTTTAAGTTCAGTAATATTCTATCTTAAAGCTGCTCTACCGAAAACATTATTTCTTATATTATTTAAGTAATTATAGGCAGCACACTTTAAACATTATTGCTCACTATAGTGAATAGATGAATGTTCTGTTTTTCAGGGATTTCTAAATCAAAAAGAAATTGAAAACTATTCTACTGCTTTTATTAAGTAATGAAAATGTTTGTGTGAAGAATCGTGATGCATTTCAGACTCAAATCAAATCGTTAGGCAGATAATCGGAATCGGATCGAATCGTGAGGCAGGTACAGATGCACACCACTAGCGATCACCTCGACTTTTATATCTGGTCTTTGGAACTTCTAGAAGGTTCTGGTGGGTGGACCTGAGGACTCGGGTTGGGGCGTAAGGCTTTAACAGGTCAGTAATGTAGGGAGGAGCTTGACCATGTAGAGCCCTGAAAGTTCTAGTCAGGACTCTAAATGAACTCTAAAGTTAACGGGTAACCAGTGCAGAGACGTCAGAACAGGAGTGATGTGAGATCCTCTGTTTGCTCCAGTTAGGAGCCTCGCTGCAGAGTTCTGGACCAACTGAAGGCGGTCAAGGTTTTTTTCTCTTAAAACATGTGAAGAGTGTGTTACAGTCATCTAGACAGGAGGAGAGGCATGGAGAACCTTTTCTAGTTAATGAAAGATCAGATGATTATGAACATTTCTTCAGTGGCAAGTCTCAGAGTCCTTTGTAGGTTAAAATAAGGAATTCTTACTCTGTTGCAGTCCTCCAGGAAGCTGGGAACATCACTGTCTGTGGGCTGGAAACTGGCCATGTCTGAGTGGCCCTCCTCCTCCTGCAGCAGAGGACCCTCAGCTTCATCTCGAGAATCTTCACCACAGAAAACAAAAGATGGACATTAAACAGAACCAAACCACCGGTGAAGTGCAGATAAACCTTAGCCAGAGGATAAAACCAGCTTTTAGCAACGAGTCACCTTTCTAAATAACTAGCCTTTGGGTCATGCCTGCAGGAAAACAAAGGCCCAGGCTGGAAGCAGGTCCTTCACACGCGTGAGTATCCTGATCTGCTCCATTAATGAAAGGAGAGCAGCAAGGCACCAGACCATAACTACATGGCTATGGCTACATAACTGTCTCTACAGCAGGTAGACAAAAACAGCCAAAAGCATCTGACGCAGCGCCCTTTATCTCTAACATCTGGTGTGAAATTAGCTTGATGACAAAATGTCATTTATGATGACTGGAGATTTTAGATACCTCCTCAACATTACACCCAATTTACACCATTGTTTCCTCTACACAGACTCAGACACCACGCCGACGAGATCCCCCCCCCACACACACACACAGACACACACACAGACGCACGGAGGGGAAGCAGGTTGGACTGCTGTAACTCGCTTTATGTGGGGCTTAAGCAACCTTCCACAAACCTCTGCAGCTTGATTACTGACAGGCTCCGGAGGAATGAGCACATTACACCAGTTCTAGGCGCCTTGCACTGGCTTCCTGTTTCTTATCGTATCTGGTTTAAGGTAATCATCCTATTTGTGTTCAAGGCATTAAATGGGGGGGGGGGGGGGGGGACCTCAGTACCTGTCAGATGTCACCCACTGGTATGTCCTGGTGCATTCCCTTAGGTCAGCTGACCAGAGAACATTAACAGTGCCCAGGTACATGTTGATATCTTGTGGGAGCCGTGCTTTTTCAATGCTGGTATCGAGGCTCTGCAGTGAGCTGTCGGCCGTAGTGAAGCAGGCCCAACTGCTTGGTCGATTTAAGCGGCGACTAAAAACTCTTGTAGCTGGCATTTGGAAACGGAGGCCTGGATCAGGTTGGCGTCGTCGCTCCGATAACTTATTTTTTCTGACGGTGGTAATAAGACTAGTCTGGGTTGCTGTAACTGTACTTGGACATTTTTACGGTATTTCAAAGATTTTCTGTGCGTCTGTTTTTATTAAAGTGCTTTGTTTGTCCTTTTGGGCGTGTGAAAGCGCTTTATAAACAAAGCTGAATTTGAACAGGGCAACTTGCAAAGTAGATATTTCATCAAAGGGAGGCAACACTTTTTACGCGCTTACGCACAAACTACGCAATAACTTCAAGTGACCCGCTCTGGACCAGTACATTCCAGTGCAGTAGCAGTGGTGACATTTGCACTTCCTCAGGTAATTAATCAGCTAACGCTGCCCATCATGTTAGCGTCATTAGCCTTACATACACACCACAGTAGATGCCAGAATCACAACATCAGGAAATTGCTGCAGCACTTGGTGCAAGAAAAAAATAAATAAGCAAAATTAGAATTAAGAAATAAACACAATGAAATGACAATATAGGGAATCAATAGTCAGAGAAGCAGCTACTAAGTACAAGTCAGTATAGGTACTGGTCCGAACGGGTCAGTTTAGTTGCAAACACGACACAGGGTCATGTGACTGAAAGAAAGCAGCTGGAGGGGGCAGGTCTATGTTTGACAGTCATGAGTCTGACCGCAGAGGGGAAGAAACTGTTTGTTGTGGTGAGAAGTTCTGGTCCGAATGGTTCGGAAACTTCTGCCAGAAGGGAGCGAGTCGAAGAGGCTGTGTCCAGGGTGAGACGGGTCTGCTGTTATCTGACCTGCATGCCTCAATGCCCTGAAGGTGTACAGGTCTTGTATAGAGGGCAGTTTGCAGCCAGTGACCTTCTCAGCAGAGCGTACAACATGCTGCAGCCTCTTCTTGTCCCTGGTGGTGGCTCCAGCGTACCACATGGTGACTGAGGAGGTGAAGATCATGAACAAGGCTGCCCAAACTGCCACATCCCACTGCATCTTTCTTTTCTGTGCAGGGGAAGGAGATGGCAGCCTGGCCTCTTTCAGACGGCCCCTGGACAGCTGTGGTAGCATAGTAGCGTACCATCACCAGCAGTGTGTGAACATGAGAGTGCATGAATAACAGAAAGTGCTGTGAGCACCTAGGAAACTGCGTTATAAATCGAATCCATTGATATTAATAATACTGTAATTTTTCACAAAATATAAATGTGAAGTTGTCTGTTATTATTTGTTTGTTTTTCAGACTCCACAATCCACCCACAGTGCTGATGAGCTAACTCACTATCACAGTAAAAGCTAGGTTGTCTTTAATAGCTCTGGGTTACTAAGGACATGAAAAAGTGCTTGGCTCAGAAAAAGGAAAGCCTTCCAGCAGGGTGATAAGAGAACGGTGAAAGTTCAGGAGGAAGGCTAACCTAACCGGGATACGTTACAAGGACAAGGTGGAGCAGAAACTAACCTCGGCAAACGCACAGGAAGCATGGCAGGGATCAAACATCATGATGGGTAGGGCCCACGTACCTGCTTCCTTTGTGGAACAACATCTTCACCCAGTTCAACAGCCTAGGTACACGACAGCGTTGACCCCCCCCCCCCCCCCCCCCCCCCCCATCACTGGAGGTAGAGTGGTAAAAGCTAGGTGGGGTAATCACAGCACTGTTCCAACACATTCTTGATTCCAGCTGAGCAAAACTCTGGCAGATTGTACCCATCTGTTCTGGCCTGGAAAATAACTGGATCACCTCAAACTCCCATGTCTGAAGTGCACGACCGCGTACTGCTGAGGAAAGACACCATGACTACGAAGGATTTCTCTCACCCTCTTCATTCCTTTGTTATAATGCTGCCATTGGGGAGGCGGTATAAAAACCCACTGGCTCGGAAGAGAACAAATCTTTGATACCCTCAGCAGTATCTGTTCTGAACAACGTGAAGTAGGTTTTGTAAACTGCCTTTATCGTCTGTTTTCATTTATTTGCATGTTGGGTCGTGTCAAAAGGGACATTTCTGTGAACTCTTGGGTCACCAACAGTATTGTCTGTCCGTCCATCCATCCATCCATCCATCCATCCATCCAACTAGGACCAACAGAGATCCAATAACAACTACCTTGGTGGGCGTCTTCATGCAGAGAACCATGACTGGGGCTGGATGGCACTCCCTCACAGGGACTGTCCCCATTAGGAGTCAGAGAGATGTGGCAGTTCCAGCCTGTCTCTAGTCCCATCTTCTCTGCAAATACCTGTTCACACACACACACACACACACACACACACACACACACACACACACACACACACACACACACACACACACACACACACACACACACACACACACGGTTCTGGACCAGCAGCAACACTCTGTTGGGGCTTCCACATCTGGGTCATACGTGCGCTTTCCGTTCTGAGGTGACTCTTTTTTACAGACCTCTTCCTCGAAGGCTCGACTGAGTTGACACTACGGACTGATTGGCCGACTGACATTCATGCCTACCGCCCCCGACTGGCGAGTAGAATCAGCCAGTGAGGGCTTCCCGCTCGCGCAATTCATTTTCATTCTGGATACTGTTGTGTAGTTTGTAGCATGGAGCTCCAGCGCGCTGGCAGACAGCTGCTCAGTGGGAAGAGAAGAACAGTGTGTGTATGCGTAGGTGTGGTCCTCATGCACAGCAGTACCAGTGAGAGAAAAGTGAGAAAATTAATAAAATAATGTGGTTCAGAGTCTCCAAAAGCAACACAGCTCACAGCTGCCTTTGTTTATCTCACACCACGAATTTTTCCACACTTCTTTAACCCCGCCCACATCCTCAGGACTTCTGTATTCTTGAGATGTCCACGGAAACCATCTATGAACAAAAACCGCCTGTATGAGGCCGAACAGACACGGCCGAGCCCTGACCGTACCGACCCAGATGTGTAAGTGGCATTCGTGTGTGTGTGTGTGTGTGTGTGTCACCTTGCTGCGGAGCTCATCGTCCATGGAGAAGTACACAAAGCGGATGCAAGCGGCCACCAGAGCATCAATGAGGCGAACTGTGTCTAGCCTGGCCTGGAACTGAGAGGACACCATTCCCATAAAAATCTGTCCACTCAGAGCCTGAACGCAGTCCTCCCGCTCCACACCTTCACCAATCCCCTCTGCAGACACGACAGGAGCCAGAGTCAGCTTGTTCTAATGCAAGTCTGCAGACTTGTGTGGGAAGAGCCTCACCATCAGAACTCCAGCTATTCCTGCAGGAGCCTTGTTTGATGGGAGTGGTGGAGGGCAGCTCCACCCCAGAGAACAGACAGGGACCAGGAGCTAGCTCCACACACTTTCCATCCAGATGGGTGGACAGGGTTACCTGCATGGGCTTGTAGGAGAAGGCTGAGCAGTAACCAGACAGACACGCTCGCTGGTAGAAGTCCAGAACCTTCTTCCTGTTGGTCGTAAACATCGTTATCAACATGTAAACAACAAGTGGGTCATGTAACCGTAAAGCAATCATCATGTTTTAGTAGACCACCAAGTACCAGACCTGTCTGAGCCTGAAAGGGGGTAGATATCAGTCCCATCCCAGAAGTCTGAGCAGGCCTCAAGGACCAGGTCAGCAGAACCATGAGACAGCATCTGGACATTATCTACAACATCAGGACATGGAAAATGATGAAAGAACATCTGGATGTTGCTAACGACAGACGAACACATAGCTAACTGGTATAGTGGGTGTAGAAGAGAGTCACCCCTTTCAAAAGGTTTTACTTCACCGCCAAGAAAACAAACAAAATATCTTTCACCAGCTTTACTCATCCTATGCTACTTAATAACATCCACCTGAAAAAAACACAATTACAGTTCAGAAAAGGTTCAATAGTTAAAACTAGGAAGTCTGAGAATAACAAAGGATCACCCCCTTGTCAATAACTGGTGGAACCGCATGTTGCTTCAATGACGGCCTTGATTCTGCTGAGATACTTCTCTATCAGCGTTGCACATCTAGACTGAGCAACACTCTTCTCTACGGAACCGTCCACGTCGGTCCGATTGGGATTTAGGTCCGGGCTCTGACTGGACCACGCTTTCTCCTTCGGCCACTGTGGGGTCAGTTTAGATATGTCCTGTGGACTGCTGTCATGTTGAAAGGTGAATCTTCTGCCCATCTTCAACCTTCTGGCAGAGGGCAGCAGTGTTTCTTCAAGAGCTTGACAGTGTTTTTGCCCATCCAGAATTTCTTCTACCCTAACAAAAGCCCCAGTCCCTGAGGCAGAGAAACACCCCCACACCAGGATGCTGCCACTTCCGTGCTTCACTGTAGGTGTGGTGTGGATGGTGATTGGTGTTGGATTTATACCAGGTGTACTGTTTGGTGAGGAGGCCAGATAGTTCAGTTTTGGTCTCATCAGATCGTTTTCCATTTGGCATCAGAATCTTCAAGGTCCGTTCAGGCAAAGCTCAAACTAGCATGAATGTGGCCTTTCTTGAGTCGTGGCCAGTCTGACCAGTGGCGGCTCATCCATGGGGGCGCTAGGGCGCCACCCGACCAGTCTCACAGGAAGAAGAAGATAGGAATCACAAAATACATTAAAAAACATGAAAATTAAACTAAATGATCTATACATCTTACAGAAGTCTGTGGTAGTGTAAAGTATAAAAATATTCTCTCACTTTTTCTGTAATTTTTTTTTTTAGGATTTAAAGCATTAAAAACCATGTTTAACAACAGAAAATAAAGCAGGAAAACAAGCAAAATTATGTATCACAAAACATCAAAAGCTGTGAGAAGTATCATCACATCATGAAAGTTGAGACATCAATCACTCGTATACTGTATAAGAGTAATGATTTTCACACAAAAACACATCTTATAGGTGGAGCATACTCGGCCCAGTTTGACCAAGTCTCGTAGAACATGTCACGCTGGATTTTGAGAGTAAAAGATAAGAGCTCGGTGTTTCTCCGAGGAATTTTTCCAGCTGTGGTGGTGGGGGAAGGGGAATGAAATTATGACACGTCTCACCTTTATGTTACTAGAGTTTTATTAGACGCACTCACTTTGAACTGCGCCAATCCAGCAACTGCTGCATTTAAATAACTGGTATTACACCAATATTTGCACAAGAATAATTTTAGTTTTAAACTCTCTGTGACACACTGCAAGGGGGGGGGGGGGGGCGATATCATTTGTTGGACCTCATTAAAAGCATTCTGTAAGAATTCAGCAGCTTTAGTGACCCCCCACTAACACCCCCTTCCACAATAGTAAATGATTGGGCTGCATGGTGGCGCAGTGGTTAGCACTGTTGCGTCGCAACACGAAGGTTGCAGGTTCAAAACTCGGCTGCGGCCTTTCTGCGTGGAGTTGCGTGTTCTCCCCATGCATGCGTGGGTTTTCTCCGGGTACTCCGGTTCCCCCCACAGATCGCAACATGCCCTATAGGTTAAAATAAATTGGAAGTTGCTTTGGGTAAAAGCGTCTGCTAAGCACATAAACATAAACATGATTGTGTCATCAGCGTAAAAGTGCATTTTAGCATACGACACATTTTGTCCTTTGTCATTATGTCAAGGTATATAGACATGGTAACAAAATAACCATAATACCTAGAAAAAAAGGACATCGTAATATTAAAGTCAGTTATAGATGTGGAACGGACACACTTGGTAGATGGGGGTTTAATTATCTATTTGAGGCCAAGTCCTACTTGCTTCCCTAGATTACTTGCACTATTACTACCCGATTAGAGGGTCTATTCCGGTATTACGGTGTATCTAAGGCTAACCAGAATTTTAGGACTAATCCTCAGTGGTGTCCACTGGGTTAACGAGTGTTTCGGCCAGTTAATCAAGCAAAGAGGGGTTAGGGTTAGTATTAGGGGTGAGGAAAGGTCACAAATAGAAAGAGTATTAGGATTAGGATTGGGGTGAGGGGAAGAAAGGGAGAGAAAAAGAGTGAAATGGGGTGTGTTTGTAGATGCGATGAGCTATACCACCCTGGTGAGCCGTTGTTGTTGGTTTGGCATAGTGGAGTCGCTAAAATGAATGGAAGTCGATGGAGGTCCTCACAAGCATATACATACAAGTGTGTGTGGGTGGATGAGTGTGTGCATGTGTGACTTACTGGAGGACACATCACGGACACACAGGGAGATGAGGTGTGAGATGGGGGGCTGGCGCTTAGTGAAGTAGTGAAGGCGGTGAGACGTTAACTCCTTCCTCTTCTGTCCTAACGGTAACTGGTACAGAGCCAGGTGGTTTTCCTGGTTGAAGAGCTGTCTGGCACCAGGAGTGAAACCTTACAGAAACAAGCAGGAGCTTTAACACACAGTGACAAGGATCCTACAAGTAGATCTCAGTCAGGTCACACATTTCAAACCCACCCAAACTGCATCCTGTCCTGTAGCTGGACCCTGTCCCCTACCTAGACCCCATCTACTACCTGGACCATGTTCCCTACTTTCATGACACCAGTATGTTTTGGCATTGCCTAACAGAAGATGCTGATCATTCAAGTTAACCTTTGACCTCAGCTGTGAAAATATGTGAGATTAACTGTGTTCAGCTGTCAAACATAAGAAAACCCTGGCTTTTACCTTGATGTTGCAAACAGCACCCAGTAGCTCACCTATGAGTCTGGAGAGCTCACACAGCCCCCAAGGGACATAGACAGGCAGGACAGCACCATGGCTCTCCTGCAGGGCCAGGTTGGAGAGGTGGTCTGAGAAATGGCAAAGCTGCTGGGTGACACTAGTGTTACACAGGTTCAACATGATGTTGAGACCCAAAGGCTTCAAGGAGGGTAAGTGGCCCTGCCAGGACAGGTCATCAAACTGGATGCTTGCTGGGTTATGCTGGTCCTGAGATAGGCTCAGCATCTCCAGGTGGTAGTCACAAACAAAATCCTCAGCCTCCGCACTGAGGAAGTCCAAAGCAAAGTCCTGGAATCAGAAAACAAACAGTCAATATGGCCGACCCAAGAGGCATTTTTATGGAGAAAATAACGATTCAACACGAGCTAGTGATGGTAAAATCAAAGCTATGGCAAATGGTAAATGGCCTGATTTTGAAATGGAGCCTTCTAGAGCCCTAGAACCCCCCAAAGCGCTTTAAAACACAATCAGTCATTTGTCTAGGCACATACAATCTTTCACACACTGGTGAGACAAGCTACCACCAGCAGGCAATGTGAGTTAAGTTTCTTGCCCAAGGACAACAACTGAGAGACTGATTGGAGATCAAACCTACAACCTTCATTACGGGGCACCCCCACTTCCACCACTGGCTCTGTTAACAGAATAGCTGATTGGACAATCGTTCCTTAGTCAAGACATAATTGAATACCTTTGAAGCAGCACAAGCTTTTTGCCCTGCAGGTCGGTCAAACCACTAGGGTTGCAAAAATTAGCAATTTTGATGCTACAGTTATGTAAGGAAAATGAGAGGTTCTTACATTTTATTTAATGAGCTGTAAGGCATGGGCTTCCATAGCAAATATGAAATCCACCTTATGGATCGAGGGTTATTTAAGCCAGAAGATTGGATCTTTTTAATGCAGAGATTATGTAACCGTTATGTATTCACTCAGAGACAACAGAATAGAGGGAGTCAAGTTTTAAAGTTAAGAATTTTATTACTAACAATTAAACTAGACTGACTTCAAAACTAAATGTGTAGTGTAACTAAAAGTGGATGAGGCGGTGAATGGATGACGTGTCATGTAAATCAGAACCAGCAAATCCGAAGAAGCGATTAGTTCTGACGGGAACTGAAGATGTTGTTTTGAAATAAGCTTTGGTTAGTTTCAGAAACAGCATGAGACCCCATCATGTTGTGTCTACCTTTGCCTTCGGTGGAAGTCCTCTTGTAGATCAGGAATGCCGAGGTCCAGCGGACCCTCTTTGGAAACCGAGCTAGTAGAAGAAGCCGCGGTTCCGGCCAGACCCGTCTGGAGTTACCTCCGGCACACGACGCATTATAGGCGTCTGTTCAGACCCAAGCCGGGAGTCGCTCTGGTCAGCGTTCAACCAGACGACACCTACGCCTGCACTAGGCATAGGACCGTGTCAAAAAGCACTGCCATCGACGTACACGATCGGCAAGTCCACACAGAGAGACTGATCAAAATAGTGGTGGTTGCGGTTTTGAAGAGTCTGAGGAGGGCTGGCTGGTGGGACTGACGCGACAGTGTCGTCCGAGCAGTGTTGGCACGCAGCCAAACCCATGCCAAGAGGGCTATGTCGGTTCTGGGTATAGCGTACTTCCATGTCAAAGCTTTGAAGAACCAGCAGCCATGAAGCGATTCGCATTGGTCACCACACCATCTCTGATGCGCTGACTGTTAAGGAAGGTCACTGGCTAGTGCCGAGTCTCAATGAGGATTTTCTGTCCACCAATGTAGCTAGAAAAGTGTTTCACCGCCCACATGGTGGAAAGCAAAGCTTTTTCACAGCCAGAGTACTTCAACTTGGGACCGGACAAGAGCTTACTAGCATAGGCTACGACACGCCTGTCGCAGTCATATACTTGGTAGAGACCAGCACTCAAAACAGTGAGCTGAGAAACCGACCTCAGGGTGGAACTCCTTGTCGCAATCGGGGAGCGCCAAGCACGGAGCTGAGCATAACGCGGCCTTCGGGTCATCCATGTCCTGTTGCTGCTGCTCAGTCCACTCGAAAGGCACATCCTTCTTCAGTAGATTAGTCAGAGGTCTCGCTATCTCAGCGTGATGTTCTACAAACTGGCGCGAGTAGTTGCAGACCCCTAAGCAGCTCCGAAGTTCGGAGACGTTCGTAGGAGGTGTGATGTGGCCACACCTTGAATTCAGCCAAGTTGAGGCTGCACTCCCTGTGGTCCCACAAGGAGGCCAACGAACTGAACCTGTGACCTGCACCACTGACCTTTGGCGAGAGAAATCTTTGCAGCTGCGAGCTGACCCATGACATGGTCCAGCTCAGACAGGTGGTCATCCAAGGTACGCTTGCGAATAAGAATGTCGTCGACATCGATGAGGGTACCTCGCTCTCGAGCATCAGGGCAGGCTTTGTCCAAGAAGATGTTGAACTCAGCTGGTGAGTTGGAATAACCAAAAGGACACCGAGTGAAGGTGTACTGGCGGTTAGCAAAAGAGAAGGCTAGTTTGTGTTGGTCCGATTTATGGATAGGAATTGTCCAAAATCCAGACGCAATGTCAAGTGTGGAGAAGTATTTAGCATCTTTCACTTTTGGAAGTTCTTGTTCCAGGCGCGCCATCGGCCACCTAGAAAAGGGAACCTGTTTGTTGAGTTGCCTGTAGTCAATGGTTAGTCGCCACTTACCATTAGGCTTCTTTACTGGCCACAATGGAGCCGAGTAGGTGCTGTTGCAGGGTCGGCTGACCCCTTTAGCCAAGAGGCTTTCAATGATTTCCTGGACTGGTCCGTGGGACGCCAGGGGAATCTTGTATTGACGCACAAAAGTCGGCGCAGCGTGTGGCAGTGGAGGAATCCTGACTTCGTGGATAGTGGTTAGACCACAGTCCAAGGAGTCAAGTGAAAGAAAATCTTTGTAATTTAACAGAAGTTGTCGTAGTTTGTCTTTCTCGACATCGTTGGTAAGAGCATCTGCTTGGTCCACGACCAGTTCGCTATCTCTTCCGAACTGGGAAAAATGTTGTTTTCATGGATACCGGAACAAGAAGAACCGTAAATGAAGCATATTGCGTCTGGACGTAGTCCATACGTCCTGACGCTACCCCAACGTCCGCATTTAAATCAGGTTATGCAAGTTAGGGGTAACTCTTTCTATTTATGCTTGTAAACGGGTTATTCTGATCAACTCAGAAACCCGAATACCGACCTTAACCCGATCATAACCCGGATATTGGCTGCATGTAAACGTAGTCAGTGGTGAAGGTGGTGGGGGAGGCATGTGACACCAGAGTGGCTGAAGAAACCTGTGCAGTAGGGAGGGGTGTGGGACTTCAAACCTGGCTTAAAAGGAGTTAAGTTTTTCAGCCAGTTGTAGGTCGTCAGCAAGCCCCCACAATGCGGCTCTGAAATTAGTCTCAACCCGGAAGAACCACAAATTGCAGTTCCACCCTCATCCACTAGGGGCTGGTGTCAGAAGCGAGCAAATCCTCATGGACTCCCATGTTAAAAATACCAATTTCACAGCAGAAATAAACATGTTTACAGCCTGGTACCAAAACATGTTTTAGGTTTAAATGATCTAGTTTACACTCATGACAACTCTGAGGGGGGTGAATGTTTTTCTCACTCTTCTGTTTAAGTGTATTAAAAGCCTAAAATTCTGTATAATTAATGAGCATCAGACCCACGTGGCCACAGAGCTAGCTCCGTGGAAAGGCCTCAGTAGAGCCTCGGTCTGGCCTGGAAACTGTTCCAGGATTTTGAGTCTCTGTGTGTGTGTATTCTGTTTTGGATATTATTTGTGCAATTGTTGGACAAAATGACTTGCTGTGGCATTAATTGCACTAATAGAGCATCCAAGGAGTCTCCATTTCATTTTTTCGGTAAGTTAAATTATATTTATGTATTTTAGGTCACTGCTGAGCTGAGCTTAGATTTTAACATGTACTGTTTAACCATGAAATTTAAATGTAATAGGGTAAAACCCAGTGCATTTAACATAATGCTGCACTTTAGGAAATGGGTTGAAATATAACATGTTGGTGGAGCTGGGTTCCCACTATCGGCTTGTGGAGCTCTCGGGAGACCGATGTTTTCCACCCGTTCTCCCCTCCCCGCAGCTCGGCGCATCTCTGTCTGAACGCGGCTTCTGTCTGCTGCGCGGGCTGCCGGCTTGTGGAGCTCTGGTATGGAAACCTTTCCACCCGGTTCTCCCCAGCAGCAGCTCTTCGCATCTCAGATCGCAGCGGCGCTTGGCTGCTGTGCGGCTGCCGGCTGGACTGTTATTTCCTGATATTTGGACGTCTCTCATCTGATTGGCAAACAGGAACACGAGCCTACCACTTACTCAGTTTGCTCTGCAGCGTTGATGTTTTTTCTGCACAAATAACATAAGACTAGAGGAGTTCTGCTGTGTGGTGGAATTGCTAATGCTAACGGTCCTGGACACTAACCCAACCTCAGCCTTCCCCGTCGTGAGCCAAGATGTGTGAGGCCATGAATGTTTAGTGACAGTGTGACATAGATCTGTCAGGCTTTTCTAACCCTAGAGTTTCACTGTCTGTTTTCTATCCATTTCCTTCCGCTTGTCCGGACTCGGGTCGCAGGGTCGCGAGGCCCAGACTTCCCTCTCCCCAGCCACTTGGGCCAGCTCATCTGGGCGAATCCTATGTCGTTCCCTGGCTACCCAAAACCGGACCAATGGTGACAGAGGGGCGTGGGCATCGAAAGCAGCCAATCAGCTGGTCGCACTGACACAGCAAACTGTAGGTGTTTCTCAATGTCAAGGAACCTTGCCTTGATGTCTTGGCCCTGCCCCGGTTGCCTAGGAGATACGTCATCAGGAGCCGCCAAGACGTGTTCCAATAGGTTCCAATGTTCAAGTTCTACCAAGGCATGTGTTCTCCGTTTGTTAGCCGTTTAGCTAGCTGAGCAAGGATACATGGGAGGTGTCTTGTAGCCTAGCCTTGGTCAAAAATTACCCACAATACACTGTGGTATTTTCAAAAAGACGGTGGATCAGAAGCCGGAAGCTACTTCAGGGACAATTTTCAAGTTTAAAAGTAAGTCAACTAATTTAAAATGTTTTTTTTTAGATCCAAAGAAGTTATCTATTGTTGGTTAGTAGCTTAGTAGTTGCAGCTTCGGTGGCTAGCGGGTAGTTACTCACTTATATATTTAATTTAATAAACATATACACAATTTAAAAAGTAAAAGGCTCGTTATATATTTGTATTGGAACTAACCCCTTCTTTCCACCGGAGCCGTCAGCAGCACGTATTGCTCGCGTAAGCTGCTGCTTGGCCCTTCCCACGAGACGCGAAGCAGCAGGGGAGCAGCTGTCACCGACCGAGCACGAAGTCACACGAGTGACTTCGTCAGTAAACACAACAACAAGCAGGAGAAAACTACAACATGGTTTGTGTTTTATGTTCTGTCCGTTTTATAATCGCCAATACGGACCTGAAAAAGAAAGGAGACCGCTAGCTAGGTGATAACTTCTCACGGAGCCGCACAGTTAGTAACCTTTTTTAAAAGTAAAGCAACCGGAAGGCAGTACGTTCTTTATTCTGAAAATCTCGGGAGCTTCGCTCTGTTTCTGCGTCCGATTTCCTGTCTTTCCTTCCCCAAAAATGTCGAACTTGACCCGTTTCAGAGGCGTCGCGCGTAGAAAATAGAACCGGCGCGTAAAGGCCGCGACATGCTGCTCCTGAGACGCGGCCGACTCGCGCTGCTGACGGCTGCGGTAGAAAAGGTTCTGTTGACCACAGCGGTTCCTATCAGCAGCTATGACGCGCTGCTGACGGCTCCGGTGGAGAGAAGGGGTAATACGTATAATATACAACGTTATCTCCCGAGTCACGTGACGTTACGTGACCACCGTGGAAGCCGCGGTTACGTGATGCAAGTCTGTTCCATTTAACCGTTTTCTTTGACCAAGGAAGGACAGTGACGTTGACGTTGTCACTTCCATTGCATCGCAAGCAAAGCGTGTGGCCTCGCAAGACATCGCCTCGCAAGGCCAGGCGCCTTGACACTGAGAAACACCCTGTGTCTGTCAGACGGGTGCAAGGTCATTTCATAAGCTGTAACAAAATGTTTCACAACCAACAAAGCCATCTCATAACAATAAACGTGTAGCATTTTTAGGACCAAAGCAATTATTAATAACACGTTTCATCAGCAATAAAAGAATTGGAGATTTTAAATGATTCGTTATTACACAAACGTTTGTCATTAGGTTTGCTATTGCACTAGATGAACGTATAAAAATGTTAGCATTAGTAAAGTAAACTTACTTCAGGCACCAACTATTTACCAAGCCGCTGCCTTATCCTGAGTGTCTCTATGTTCTTTGGTAGAAATGTTTCATCTAAAGAGATTTAATATATTATTATATACTATTATTACATATATGGGGTTAGGGTTTTATATACACGTGTGTGTGTATCGGCTCATAGCAGAAGAAAGGTTTGGTAGTAAAGGTCCTATAAAAGTTTGTTTACGTTGGCTCACCTGGACTTGGTTGTCCTCGGCACCCTCCATGTTGTGGCTGAAGCTCACATTTGACCCAGAGTGATGCTTTGAGCCAGAACATGCAGGCTGGCAAAAGGGAAGTGTTTCTGAAGACAGAGGTGGGTCATGTGACATCTCACTAGGCTCAAGAGGTTCTGACAGCTTTGTGGAGGTCTGCTCTGGCAAACAAAGCAGAGCCTCTGCCTCCTGGACCTGAGCAGCAGGAGCATTAGTTACTCAAATGTGAGCATTTAACGGTGAGACGCAGGAGATGCATACCTGGTCTCTGTCATCCTCGGTCTCCATCTGGCAGTAGGAGTTGACAGACAGGTCATCTCGGAGGTTGTCCTGGCTGCTGTGAGGCAGTTCCACTCGTCCACTGAAGAACAGGACAGTCTCAGGACTGGGGTTTGGCCAGGACAGGATACCCTGTTTGTCCACGCAGCACAGCACCTGGACAGGCACACGATAAACCCGTCTACACCGTCAGCTAACAAGAGACCAGCTGAAACTATTTGTCTTCTTAAATGTGAGGGTAACTGGGCCGCCAGCAGTGGACCTCACAGATCAAGAACTATCTGCTTTGAAAGGGTTCTGAACTCACAGTGACAGAACCCAGGGTGTGGAGCAGGCTGGACGTGTAGCAGAGCATCTGGGATTGTCCCTTTAGGACACCAACCAGGTGTCTCCACACACACCTCAGCATCTCCTGTGGAGGAAACACACGCACACACACATAATATAATTACTGATACACATTTCAAGAGCCTGTATTTGATTAATCACCTTCTACAACCCCCAAAGGCGCTTTACAACACAATCTGTCATTCAGAAATAGAATAATTCACAATCAGAATCAGAAAAGGTTTGTTGCCATTGTCAGTGAACAAACAATTCACAAACTAGGAACTTGCTTTGGTACTAATGTGCTACACATAACATGAATAATAAGATTAACAATAGAATAAAAAACTAGAATAAAACTTTCAGCTATAAAAAATGGCAGGTAATGGTAACATGGCCGATAACGTGACGTTGGGTCGAGTACAGAAGACCAGAATGGTTGTGTGTTTATAATCTGTTCACAAGTCTAATGGCAGATGGAAAGAAGCTGTTCTTATGACGAGAGGTTCTGGTCCGGATGGACCGTAACCTCCTGCCCGAGAGGAGCGGCTCAAAAAGTCTGTGACCCGGGTGCTCTGTGTTTACCACACCGTGCCCGACACGTCGTGATGGAGGTTTGGCTGTGGTCTTAAGGACAAACATGTCTGTAATCTGGTGAAAAATGGACCTTTTACAACTTTTGAATGTCAGGTCATCAAAGTAGGGTTACAAAATGGCTACCGATGGCGATTTTTGGCCGTCACACAAGATTGGAGTTCTCACAGTGTGATATAAACAGAGAGGTGGCACATTGTAAGATTTCAGTGATGCAGACTGCGTGACGCCGCTCTCCAGCAGGACGCTGCATCATGACCACACCTCCCAAAGCATACGTCACAAAGCAGACCGCTAACCAAAACAAAGCTGAAAATATAAAAACACTTGGTTTTAGCGTCAGTTCATGACCCAGCTCATCTTCCTCAGAGAGGAAGCGTTGTTTTTAAAACCCTTGCTTTGGCATCAGACTGTGGGTCTACTTTTCCCGTCTTCCAGATAAACAGCTGATCTGTCAGCTGGTCATTCATCCTTCTCCTCCTTTACACACAAGAACCCACTTAACTACAGAGAAGTAAAAATCTGTCACAGATCGCTGTATTATCTAAACTTTTGCTGTGAATTCTGTCTCACTGCTCCGCAACTGGACCAGAAACGTTGGTCCAAAACTGTTTTAATCACTTAAGAAATATCTCCAAACTGTGAAGGTTGGTGTCAAAACATGAACTTGAAATGGTTCTCCATGCCTTTATCTCCTCCCGTCTAGATGACTGTAACACACTCTTCACATGTTTTAACAAAAAAAGCTCTTGACCGCCTTCAGTTGGTCCAGATCTCTGCAGCGAGGCTCCTAACTGGAGCAAACAGAAGAGCTCACATCACTCCTATTCTGACGTCTCTGCACTGGTTACCTGTTAACTTTAGAGTTCATTTTAGAGTCCTGACTAGAACTTTCAGGGCTCTACATGGTCAAGCTCCTCCCTATATTACTGAACTGTTAAAGCCTTATGCTCCAACCCGAGCCCTCAGGTCCAACCACCAGAACTTTCTAGAAGTTCCAGAGACCAGATACAAAAGTCGAGGAGATCACTCCTTCAAGACTGTTGCACCCCGATTTTGGAACAACTTCGTGTTTTTCTCCCCAGAAGAAGCTACAATGATGTTCTGCTGAGCTGTGGTGGCCTCATGGAGGGGGCCATCGACTAGCACACTGCTGCTAACCACTAAAACATTCTCCCTCTCCTGATAATAACTTTTTGCTTTCCTTGACGTTGGATGTGCTACTACTAGTTTACCCGTTTAATTATAGATCCACTTGGATAAATACAATAAAGTTTATCTTTCACCAAATAGAATATTTACTAAGAAATCACAATATAACTATAGAAACACTACTTGGTGTGTGTGTGTGTGTGTGTGTGTGTGTGTGTGTGTGTGTGTGTGTGTGTGTGTGTGTGTGTGTGTGTGTGTGTGTGTGTGTGTGTGTGTGTGTGTGTGCTCTGTCTTCTCGATCCCCAGTGAGTCGTGGAGGATGGCTGCTTATACTGAGCCAGGATTCTCTGGAGGTTTCTTCCTGTTAAAAGGGAGTTTTCCTCTCCACTGTCGCTGCATGCTTGCTTAGTACGAGGATTGCTGTAAAGACTCGGACACTAGTCAGTGACTAGTCAGCAACCTGCTGGGTTCCTTATATAGGAAACTTGTTACTGATTGGCTTAATGAACTGACCTGTAGTGGAATGTTTACTGTATGAAGGTCCTTGAGACGACTCTGGTCGTGACTTGGCACCAGAAATAAACTTGAATTGAATTAAAACTGAGCTACTGCTGTCCCACATGCTGAAGACAATTAAAATTGTGTTGCAAGGAGGACAAAGCTGCATTCAAAGAAGAACTTCATGCATATAAAATGCTGTTGCTAGCATATAAATGTGTATTAGAACTAGGGCTGCAGCTATCGAATATTTTTTGTAATCGAGTACTCTATCGATTTGTGTTTGTAAACCATTATATCAAATAGCATGTTATAATTATGAAAGACCTCTTAAAATGAGCAAGCAGTTGCCAGTTATTCTTCAAGTTTTATTCAAAATTAGTTTGCAAAACTTCAGCACTTCAACTTTACTTCACAGTAAACAAATGCCTGTGCAAAAAATAAGTACACAACCTGAGCCGATTTTCCCCTCGTGCGAGAATCTGCTAGCCTGCAAGCCAGAGGATAACTGTTGAAGTAGCGCTGCGGGCGGCTGCGGCCCAAACAGAACCAGAACCGCTCATGGCGTATGCGCAAACAGCTCGCCGGCTGTTTCCCTATTAACACACGTCCGTTTTAATTTCAACACTTTTTTTCTCACACAATAACAAGGATTGTCGAGAAAGCATGTTTGCCGTGGTTTTGTCCAATTATACTGATCACAAAACATTTATTTACTTTCTTTCGTTTTTCTCTCATAAATACCAGTCCTCCTGCAGCAATCCCGAGGGACAACGAATATCAATAACAACACAGTAAAAGTCCGACGTTTTGTGTAAAAATGCTATTTTTTAGCACATTTTAAGTCCGATGTGTTGCTACCAGATGTACGGTGTGAGCTGAAACTGAGTGCTACAAACGAAAAAGTCGCACAGTGTCCGCAGAATATATAGAAATACAGGCTAAAAAGCATTATCTTGTAGAGGCTCCGAGTCCGCTTGCAGAAGAGACATTTACAGGTGCTGCAGCACGGAGGATGTGGTGTTGTGGTTGGCTAAATCCATTTTACAGTATTTACACTGGACTACGTTTTCCACCTTACGACGTGAAAAATGGTCCCACATCTTGACATTTTCTGTCTTTTTCGCACTCCACCATCCATCCATCCATTTTCTTCCGCTTATCCGGAGTCGGGTCTCGGGGGCAGCAGCCTAAGTCGAAAGGCCCAGACTTCCCTCTCCCCAGCCACTTGAGCCAGTTCTTCCGGGGGAATCCCATGGCGTTTCCTGGCCAGCTGAGAGACATAGTCCCTTCAACGTGTCCTGTGTCTTCCTTTATGTCTCCTCCCGGTTGGACGTGCTCTGAAAATCTCACCAGGAGGCATCCTGACCTGATGCCCAAGCCACCTCAACTGGCTCCTCTCGAGCCCCTCCCAGATGACCGAGCTTCTCACCCTATCTCTAAGGGGAGAGCCCAGCCACCCTGTGGAGAAAACTCATTTCAGCCGCTTGTATCCGCAATCTCGTTCTTTCAGTCACTACCCAAAGCTCATGACCATAGGTGAGGGTGGGAACGTAGATCGACCAGTAAATTGAGAGCTTTGCCTTCTGGCTCAGCTCTCTCTTCACCACGACAGACCGGTACAACGCCCACATCACTGCAGATGCAGCACCAATCCGTGTATCAATCTCATGCTCCATCTTTCCCTCACTTATGAACAAGACCCCGAGATACTTAAACGCCTCCACTTGGGGCAGGACCTCATCTCTGACCTGGAGAAGGTATTCTACCCTTTTCCAACTTAACAACATGAACAATGTTATTAATATAGATTCGGAATAAGGTTCAATCCAGTATCGATCCTTGAAGAACGCCCATAGAAACAGGTAGAGGAGCAGATTGGTAACCCTCTGTTCTCACGGTTTGTGTATGACCTAAGGTATAACTTCTGAACCATGGCACAGATGCCTGAGAAAGTTCTATATGTTTGAGTCTACTAAGATGTTATGGTCTACAGAGTCAAAGGCTTTAGTCAAGTCAACAAACACAGCTACACAATATTCCTTATTGTCAATGGCACATATGATGTCATTTAGCACTTTAAGTGTTGCAGAGACACATCCATGGCCAGTTCTGAAGCCGGACTGCATGGGGGTAATAATACTGCTGGATTCCAGATAGCGAGTTAGCTGTTTGTTGACTAACTTTTCAATGACGTTAGAGAGGCAAGGCAGGATAGAGATAGGCCTGTAACAGCTTAGGCCTGAATGATCTCCCGCTTTAAAGAGTGGAGTAACAGATGCAAATTTCCAGTCCTGCGGAAATGCACCACTTTGTACGGACAGAGTAAACAGATGTGTAATAGGTGCAGCTATAACATGTTCTGAAATTTTCAAAAAGAAAGAGTCAAGATTATCCAGTCCAGCAGTTGTATGAGGATCTAACCCGAGTGACTCGTCACGTACCTCATTTACCTGAAACAACGAATGGAGAAACAAGAATTGGTTGTGGAGAGAAAATCACTGCATATTGCTGAGTCGAGGTCAGAGACCCCAGAGACGGGTGAAGCTGTAGCAAAGGCATGACTTGACTTGATAAAGTGACTATTGAAGGAATTTACCATTTTAGTTTTATCCGAGACAACAATACCCTTAGATTTGATTGCATTTGGCAAGTGTGAGGACTTATTGGTATTTTCTGGCGTTTAGTTGGCTGTAGTCGACTAAATCTCTACAGCGTTTAGTCGGTTTTAGTCGACTAAATCTTTACAGCGTATAGTCGGTTTCAGTCGACTAAATCTCTACAGCGCATAGTCGGTTTCAGTCGACTAAATCTCTACAGTATTTAGTCGGTTTTGGTCGAGTAAATCTTTACAGCATATAGTCGGTTTCAGTCGACTAAATCTTTACAGCGCATAGTCGGTTTTAGTCGACTAAATCTCTACAGTGTAGTCAGTTTTAGTCGACTAAATCTCTACAGTGTTTAGTCAGTTTTAGTCGACTAAATCTATACAGTGTTTAGTCAGTTTTAGTCGACTAAATCTCTACAGTGTTTAGTCAGTTTTAGTCGACTAAATCTCTACAGTGTTTAGTCAGTTTTAGTCGACTACATCTCTACAGCGTTTAGTCGGTTTCAGTCGACTAAATCTCTACAGTGTTTAGTCGGTTTTAGTCGACTACATCTCTACAGCGTTTAGTCGGTTTCAGTCGACTAAATCTCTACAGTGTTTAGTCAGTTTTAGTCGACTACATCTCTACAGCGTTTAGTCGGTTTCAGTCGACTAAATCTCTACAGTGTTTAGTCGGTTTTAGTCGACTAAATCTCTACAGTGTTATGTCAGTTGTAGTTGACTAAATCTCTACAGTGTTAAGTCGGTTGTAGTCAACTAAATCTCTACAGTGTTTAGTTGGCTGTAGTCGACTAAATCTCTACAGTGTTAAGTCGGTTGTAGTCAACTAAATCTCTACAGTGTTATGTCAGTTGTAGTTGACTAAATCTCTACAGTGTTTAGTTGGCTGTAGTCGACTAAATCTCTACAGTGTTATGTCGGTTTAGGTCGACAAAATCTCTACAGGGTTATGTCGGTTTGAGTCTACTAAATCTCTACAGCGTTTAGTCGGTTGAAGTCGACAAAATCTCTACGGCGTTTAGTCGGTTGAAGTCGACTAAATCTCTTAAGTGTTATGTCGGTTGTAGTAGAATAAATCTCTACAGTGTTTAGTCGGGTTTACTCGACTAAATCTGTACAGTGTTTAGTCGGTTTTTGTCGACTAAATCTCTACAGTGTTATGTCGGTTGTAGTCGACTAAATTCTATAGTATTCAGTCAGTTTTAGTTGACTAAATCTCTACAGCGTTTAGTCGGTTGTAGTCGACTACATCTCTACAGTGTTATGTCGGTTGTAGTCGACTAAATCTCTACGGCGTTTAATCGGTTTTAGTCGACTAAATCTCTACAGGGTTTAGTCGGTTGCAGTCGACTAAATCTCTACAGTGTTTAGTCGGTTTTAGTTGACTAAATCTCTACCGTGTTTATTCGGTTTTAGTCGACTATAATTCAAAAAAGTTTTAGTCGACAAAGATTTTTGTTTTTAATTTTACAAAACATTAAACAGAGTTTTATTCTCTAACAAATGCATGCCTCGGTCAGACGTGTACTCTGAGCTACTAGAGTGAGTTTCATACCAGCATCATTTATTTTATGGCTATGGGACATACAGGTGCTGGCCAGTAAATTAGAATATCATCAAAAGGTTGAAAATATTTCAGTAATTCCATTCAAAACGTGAAACTTGTACATTATATTCATGCAATGCACACAGACCAATGTATTTCCGATGTTTATTACGTTTAATTTTGATATTTATAGGTGACAACCAATGAAAACATCAAATCTGGTATCTCAGAAAATTAGAATATTCTAAAGGCCAATGAAAAAATGTTTGTTTCTCTAATGTTGGCCAACTGAAAAGAATGAACATGAAAAGAATGTGCATGTATAGCACTCAATACTTAGTCGGGGCTCCTTTTGCCTCAATAACTGCAGTAATGCGGCGTGGCATGGACTCGATCAGTCTGTGGCACTGCTCAGGTGTTATGAGAGCCCAGGTTGCTCTGATAGTCGTCTTCAGCTCCTCTGCATTGTTGGGTCTAGCGTATTGCATCCTCCGCTTCACAATACCCCATAGATTTTCTATGGGGTTAAGGTCAGGCGAGTTTGCTGGCCAATCAAGGACAGGGATACCATGGTCCTTGAACCAGGTGCTGGTGGTTTTGGCACTGTGTGCAGGTGCCAAGTCCTGTTGAAAGGTGAAGTCTGCATCCCCATAAAGTTGGTCAGCAGCAGGAAGCATGAAGTGCTCTAAAACTTCCTGGTAGACGGCTGCATTGACCCTGGACCTCAGGAAACAGAGTGGGCCAACACCGGCAGATGACATGGCACCCCACACCATCACTGACGGTGGAAACTTTACACTGGACCTCATGCAACGTGGATTCTGTGCTTCTCCGCTCTTCCTCCAGACTCTGGGTCCTTGATTTCCAAAGGAAATGCAGAACTTGCTTTCATCAGAAAGCATAACTTTGGACCACTCAGCATCAGTCCAGTCCTTTTTGTCCTTGGCCCAGGCGAGACGCTTCTTGCGCTGTTTCTTGTTCAAGAGTGGCTTGACACACGGAATGCGACACCTGAATCCCATGTCTTTCATGAGTCTCCTCGTGGTGGTTCTTGAAGCGCTGACTCCAGCTGCAGTCCACTCTTTGTGGATCTCCCCCACATTTTTGAATGGGTTTGTCGTCACAATTCTCTGCAGGGTGCGGTTATCCCTAGAGCTTGTACACTTTTTTCTACCACATTTTTTCCGTCCCTTCGCCTGTCTGTTAATGTGCTTGGACACAGAGCTCTGCGAACAGCCAGCTTCTTTAGCAATCACCTTTTGTGTCTTGCCCTCCTTGTGCAAGGTGTCAATGATTGTCTTTTGGACAGCTGTTAAGTCAGAAGTCTTCCCCATGATTGTGGTGCCTTCAAAACAAGACTGAGGGACCTTTTAAAGGCCTTTGCAGGTGTTTTGAGTAAATCAGCTGATTAGAGTGGCAGCAGGTGTCTTCTATATTCAGCCTTTTCAGAATATTCTAATTTTTTGAGATACCAAATTTGGAGTTTTCATTAGTTGTCACTTATGAATATCAA